GGCGCTGTCACCAGGGTGGCTGGAGGCTGAGCAGGAGCAAAGCCCTGACCTCTTCAGTTCTGTGAAGACCGGGAGGCGAGGAAGCTGCAGAAGAAAAGTGTGAAGCTGGCGGAGGCTGGTTCTTGAGGTTTAAGGACAGACGTCGTCTCCATCACACAGAAGTGCAGGTGAAGAGCACGTTATCCGGGAGATCTAGCTAAGATAGTGATGAAGTTGGCTAGGCTGAACGACAGATTTGCAGTGTGGATGAAACAGCCTTTTATTGGAAGAAGGTGCCAACTAGGACATGCTAGCTACAGAGGAGAAGTCGATGCCTGGCTTCAAAGCTTCAGAGGACAGGCTGACTCTCTTGTGAGGGGCTCATGCAACTTGACATTGGAGTCAGTGCTCATTTACCATTCCGAAAATCCCAGGGCCTTAGAGTTATACTAAATCTACTCTGCCTGTGCTCTGTGAATGGAACAGCAAGGCCTGGATGACAGCACATCTGTTTATAACACGGTTTACTGAACATTTTAAGCCCATTGTTGAGATCTGTTACTCAGAAAAAAAGAGTCCTTTCAAAATATGACTGCTCAGTGACAATGCACCTGGTCACCCAAGAGCTCTGATGGCGATGGACGAGATTAATGTTGTTTTCATGCCTGCTAACAACACCCATTCTGCAGCCCATGGGTCAAGGAGTAATTTTGACTTTCAAGTCATAGTAGTTAAGAAATACACATTGTAAGGCCAAAGCTGCCCTAGATAGTGATTCCTCTGATGGATCTGGGCGAAGTCCATTGAAAACCTGGCAAAGATTCACCATCTTAGATGCCATTAAGTACATTCCTGATTCATGGGAAGAGGTCAAAATACCCACATTAACAGGAGTTTGGAAGAAGTTGATTCCAACCCTCATGGATGACTTTGAGGGTTCAAGACTCAGTGGAAGAAGTAACTGCAGATGTGGTGGAAACAGCAAGCGAACTGGAGTTAGAAGTGGAGCCTGAAGGTGTGACAGAATTGATGCAAATTCATGACAAAACTTGAATGGATGAGGAGTTGCTGCTTACGGATGAGCAAAGAAAGTGGTTTCTTGAGATGGAATCTACTCCTGGTGAAGATGCTGAGACTATTGTTGAAATGACAACAAAGGACTTAGGATATTGCATAAACTTAGTTGCTAAAGCAGTGGCAGGGTTTGAGAGGACTCATTCCAATTTTGAAAGAAGTTCTGTGGATAAAACGCTGTCAAACAGCATCGTATGTAGAAAAATTGTTGGAGAAAGGAAGAATCAATTGATGAGGAAAACTTCACTGTTGTCTTATTTTGAGAAGTTGCCACCCTCACCCCCCCTTCAGCACCACGACCCTGATCAGTCAGCAGCCAGCAACATGGAGGCAGACCCTCCACCAGTGAAAGGATTATGATCTGCTGAAGGCTCAGAGGACAGTCAGCATTTTATAGTGATAAGGTATTTTCCAAATATGTATGTATACTTTTTAAAGACATAACTCTTTTGCACACTTAATAGACTACAGCATATTGTAAACATAACTTCTGTGTGCACTGGGAAACCAAAAAATTGTGAGTCACTTGATTGCAGTTGTCTGGAACTGAGCCCTCAATATCTCTGAGGTATGCCTGTATATAAATATAAAACATATAACATATAAATATATAAAACAGGTAATATATTTGCTTTAAAATATAGCTGTGTACTTAAAAATGAAGAGGATTTAAATTTGTTTTCTCCGTTTAAAACATGACAGTCACTGCAGTGTTGTGTTTATTGCTTTGTGTGCAGTGGGATGTTAATGTGACTCATTAACCACTTTCCTACTCTCCCCCCCCCTGTTGTTCCAGCTTCATGGAGGCAAGAGGGTAATGGAATGCCTAAAGAAAGCTCTAAAAATAGCAAATCAGTGCATGGACCCCTCTCTACAAGTGCAGCTTTTTATAGAAATTCTGAACAGATATATCTATTTTTATGAAAAGGAGAATGATGCGGTAAGTGAGCTGATAGTGTTGTTAGTGAACTCTGTTTTCCCTTCCTGCTCCGAGATTCAGTGCATACCGAGGTTTATCATTCTGGTGCTTTTTTGTTTGTTTGTTTGCGAGGATCAGAATTGGGGGAACCCGCTTACTGGTCTCCCATTCTCCAGAAACATGCTCTGACTATTGAAATGCATCTCTAATGGAAGAACTCTTTGTATGCAAGGAAATTCTCATTCCTTTTGCTCGGGAATATTTTATAAAAATAGTCTCTGTGTTTAGGAAACACGAAATAATTTACAAATGCTAAATAGTAGACTGATTTGTCATCGCATACAAGTTCAGAATGAGTCCTAAATAAGGAAGAATGCCTTAGCCGTTTAGCAGAGAGCAGCATCGATCAAGATTGGTAGGTTAGATAACATTTTGTTTTTGTTCTTGTAGTGGTTCATGGTGCTCTGTATTTTTTATTAACTCCTTTTTTTTTATGAATAACCCAAAGTTGTTCCCAAACTAGGAATCATGTTTTCATTTCTCTTTTTTTTTTCCATAATTGATGAGAATAACACAAGCTCCTCAAAACGTTATTAAATTACCTTTTATTTTTTGTGGTACGTTTGGTCATGAAATTGTACGTATTCTTTTGTAGGTCACAATTCAGGTTTTGAACCAGCTTATCCAAAAGATTCGAGAAGACCTCCCAAATCTCGAGGCCAGTGAAGAAACAGAACAGATTAACAAACATTTTCATAACACGCTGGAGCATCTGCGCTTGAGGCGGGAATCACCGGAGTCCGAGGGGCCCATTTATGAAGGGCTCGTCCTTTAAACGGAAACAGGCTCACCACACTCTCGTCCACGCACATCAGTGAGGGTTTTGCTATGCTAGGTCTCCCTTCCATAGATCGTGCCTTTCAGAAATGCTGAGGTAGCTTTCCCGTTTCTTACCTGTGATGTGTTTAATCCAGCACCTCTGGACACTCACCTTCAAGACCTTAATAAAGTTATTCACTTCATAAGTGTTCAGGTCTGTCTGATCACCCCAAGTAGCATGATTTATTTGCTATTTAAAATTCCTGTGATCTGTAAAGAAAACAAAAAACAAAAATACTTAAAAACCACTTATCTCAGCTACTAATGAAGCTCTCCTTCCTTTATTTCTGTTTTGTTTCGTTGTTGATTATGTCATTTCCTGCATTACTTGGGAGTACTAACCCGAATGTGTCTGTCTCTTTGTTCTCTAGTCCAATTTGAGATGAATTTAGAGGAAAGGAATACTGTATATGAAATTCAGTTTGGGCTTTACCCTAAATGCAAGATAAGGCCATGTATAATATTTTCCCTAAAACTAGAATATATTAATGCATGTTTGAGAATTTTAAAGCACCATGGTCAAAACCAGAAGCTATATTTTGCGTATTTGGACTCTGTCATCCATTAAGAACCTATGTTGACTTCTTGACATATTTATCAAAATAATTTTGTTCTAAATAGTATAAACTAGAAAATTTGTGATCTATATAATTTATGTATAACCTTCATTATTGTACATTTAGGGGGAAATGCATCATACAATTATGATTTTTTTTTTTTGCACCCGTGAAAATAAAGTTGCCATTAACAATTTTGGACTTTTTTCCTTTGATACTTCATTCATGAGAGAAACTAATAGAATGCCTATAGAGTGGAGATGTTTTCCGTGATCAGACTGCGTCGCTTGTCACCACCAGGCTCCTCGCCTTCTGTGGACTCACCCCACCAGGCGTTGTAACCTCTGCTTTTGCCGGCCCATCTCAGCTGGCTAGGCAAGGCCTGGTGAGGCATTAAAGGGTGGCTTCTGGAGTTTGGCTGGTTTCTAATCCTGGCTGTGCTGGATTAAATTGGGTGTTATATTTCCTCATCTGTAAAATGGGAATAGTATTTCCAGTCTCAGGATGGTTTTTGAAGATTGAATAGGTGATGGCAGGTAAAGCCTGCAGACTTTGTTTTTATTATGTTAGTTTTTGTTTTTTAGTTTTTATTGGCTGTTGAAGTTAGGCAAAACATACTTTTACTAAATTTAATTTGACATTCTTTGAAAACATCGTGTGTCTGTGTGTAGGTAGTGAATGAAAGGGAGAGAGGGGCTGATTGTTGACGTTGAAAGGTTTGGGGCCACTTGGGCCAAGATACTATTACAATTGAAGAGAGCTTCCAAGAGGTGAGGTGAGTTGCCCAAGGTAAATACCACTAGTAATGGCAGAAAGAAATCTAAATACTATGTTTTTCAACGCTCAATCCAGTGCCTTTTCCCCTTTACCCCATTTCCAGGCATGGCTTGTTTTTTGGAAATCATCCCAAATTATGACCCAATTCAGCTTGGTCCAAGTTCGCACCGAGAGCTTGGACGAGAACAGCGGTCCGCCCGGCCAGTGGACGGCGCCCAGGCGCTGTCACCAGGGTGGCTGGAGGCTGAGCAGGGTGGGGCTCGTGCGGAAATGGCCACGCACGCTTTCCTCTGATTGGCTCAAGCGCGGCGGTCCGCCTCCCAATCAGAAGCGTCTGCGTCATCACGTCACTGGGCTGCGCGGTGCCCGCCGGAATTTGAAATGGCTGACGGGTGGCTGGCGGCTGGCGGGCTGGGGTCGGAGGCGATGGGGCCGGAGGCCGAGTGCACTGGCTGGGCGGCCGAGGAGGAGCCGGCGCCGCTGGAGAAAGGCGAGTACCCGCCACGGTGGCCCGAGGGGAGCCTGCGCGGCGCGGGGGTCTGCGGCCTTCCGGCCGCGGCTGGCCAGGGCGGCGGCGGGGGCTGCGCGAGGCCCGGGCCCCCGTCAGGACGTGGGCGTCGGGAGTTGCCCGGGCCAGCCCCCTTCTCCCCGCCCAGCCCGGCCGCGGCGTCCTCGGGACCGGAGGGAGCTGGACCGGGCTGGGAATGCCCTCCCCTGGGTGTCTGGATGGGCTTCCGGGACGAGGGGCCCCCTTGGCCGCTGCACCTTAAAGGAGATCGTGGACCACACTGTTGCCCCGTCGAGAGAGGGAACGTGACCTTTACCTGGGCACTGCGGGCACGGGACCTGCCCCAAGTGAGCGGGGACGGTCTGGAACCAGGACCCACGTCGAGTCCTCGGGCCTGTCTGCCTCTTCAGGGAGGTTCCAGTATGCGTTTCTCTTGATGTTTTCGGCTGGTTCGGGCGTTTCGGTTGACACAGTCAGGGGTCCTGCGTAGGGGGAGGAGCCCCCGCCCAGGAGGGAAACGGGCGCGCCCGACTTCCACGCCTCACCCCTCCTGTGAGCTGGCGGGTCACCCGGCTTCGGTTTTCCCACCCGGAAAACGGCCTGTGGGCCCGCCGAGCGGCGAAGATGAAGTGAGGTCCTGTGTGAAAAGGAATTCCTTCGAAGTGGCTGTAAAGAAGCGTGTGAACCTTTTGTTACAATGTTAAAATACACAACATAAAATTTACCACCTGAACCATTTTTCAGGGTACACAGTTCAGGGGTGTTAATTGCATTCACGTTGTTATGCAGCCGTCACCTCCCTCCACCCCGTAACGTTTCATCTTGTAAAGAGAAACCACTGTGGATGAAAAAGGGGCTCTCTGGAAAGGAACGTCACAGGGTGACCTCATCAGAAATCCTTGACCGGGCCTGTCATGGCTTGTGACTTCTTTAGCGGGAGGCTTGTCTTCGCCTTAAGCGATCCCTTCCGTTGTTTCTGGGCTTCCAGGATCAACACACCTTTCAAATGCCTCTCTTTCAAGGTGACCGTCCTGGAGAGCGCACCTGACCTTGCTGACAGCCCTGTAACCCCCGCCCCGCCTTCCTCTCTCCCACCTTCATGGAACCTTCTGTCAGTTTTCTCCTTTGTTCCAAATGCATGAAAGAAGATGCAAACTGCCATTCTCAGAGGCATTTTTCTCTGTTGAGATGAGCTTCCAGGCGTAGCCTCGGTTGGACTCACATTTTTATAAAAGTCTCTGCAGGCTGAGACTGTTTTTACGTTGACACTAAACCTGTTGAGCAATGACACGCCATCCCCCCACCCCCTCCATTCTCCCTGCCTCCCGGCCCCCGGCCACCACCCTAATACTTGCTGCCTTTGTGATTTCTGACTGCTAAGTGACTCACCGGTGGAATCACACAGCATTTGTGTTCCTGTGGCTGACGTACTTCATTTAGCATCATGTCCTCAAGGTTCCATCCACGTTGGAGCATCTTGCAGAATTTCCTTTTTAAGGCTCAGTAGTACTCCATTGTGTGTATAAACCACGTTTGGCCTATCCGTTCATCCATCGTTGGACACTTGGGCCGCTTCCATGTTTTAGCTGCTGTGAACATGGGAGTGCAAATATTTCCTGGAGACCCTGCTTTCAATTCTTTTGGGTAAAACCCAGAAACACAATTGCTGGGTCATCCGGTGATTCTGTTTAAGTTTTTGAGGACTCTACGTACTGTTTTCCATAATGGATGTACCACGTTACATGCCCTTCAACAGTGCACAAGGGTTCCTTTTTCTCCACATCCTCACCAACACTTGTTTTCTTGATATATATATATATTTTAAGATTTTATTGGGGAATTGGGGGAGGGAACAGCATTGGGGAATCGGGGATGGGGTACAGACAAGTTGCTGTCCTTCTGTTCTTCAGTCTAGTTGTGGAGGACGTGGCTTCACTGGCCCATGTTGGTATCATTGCGCTCTTCCCGGGTGAGGCAGATTGGTCGCCGGCCACTGGATAGCAGCTCATAGCAGCTCACGCCGGCTGCCGGCCACTCACAGTAGCTCATGGCAGCCTGCTGCAGTTCTACTGCAGCCCACACCGTCGCCGGTGACTCACGGCAGCCCAGCTCCAGGTCGAGCTGTTGTTCACCATCTTAGCTGTAGAGGGCACAGCGTCACTGGCCCTCAATGTGGGATCCGAACCGGGGCCCTGCTGCTCAGAGCTGGCGTCCCGAGCCAGCTCCTAACCGACGCGCCCCTCGGCCGGCCCTCTTGTTGTTTTTTTGATAGTAGCCTCCTAAGGGGTGTGTGGTGAAGGTATGATTTCTTTAACAAACGTTTATATTATGTGATGGTTACTGTCGTAAGTGATTAACAAATAATTGATTTAATTCTCTTAATTTAATTGAAGTGGGCACACTATTTTCATCTTCCATTTAGAGGCAAGGAAACAGGCACAGAGAGATTGCCACATGGCTGGTCAGGGTGAAGTCCCCTGAGGCCATGTGCATTGGTGTTTGTGAGCAGGACACCCTTGGGTACACTTTGGTCATCTGTGGGGTCAAGCAATTCTGGTGGCCTGAACAGAGACAAAGAAGTTAAAGGAAGGAGAAAGTACAATGGGCTGGGGGAGAGAAAGACTGCTGCTAATAGCAGTCTCAGATTCCCTCCCAGAAAACACCTGGAAACTTCTTTGCCAGTCTAAATGCTACCATTCTTTATTTAGTAATTCTTTTGTCATTAAAAACGTTGTATTACACAGAATTAGATATACCACTGGCCAGATCACATTATGAAATTATGAAACATAATTTCCTGTAGCCTGAGCCTAATGTGATGAGTGTTTCCTAATCTTTTTCTTAGATGCAGTCATGAAAATGAGTGAGGAGGAACCTAGTAGCTTTATTGAAGGAAGCCATACCCGTTATTAAGAATCTCTCATCGCTCTTCATTGAGGGGCCATTGACAGACGGTTGTAGAAGATAAAGGGAGGCTTCAGCTCCTTTGAGAGGCAGTATAGGAAATCAGTTATTACTTTAATGCAGCTTTGTAGAGTTTTGGAGACTGTAAGGTATTTGACCATGATAAGTTGCCAGCTGTAGGAAGAATCGTCGCTGTATCCTTTGAAGGAGAGCTTGGGTGATTTCCATTGAATTAAATTACTGCATTCTTCCTCTGCCTCCCTGGAAATCTCACACAACACCACCTAACCATGAATGATTTTAAGTTCTTATTGTTTGGAGATGTTTTTAAGTTTAGTGAAACTGGGTTCTTCTGACAGCAGAGGTAAGCCAGCATCGCACCCTAATTAACCCTCGTTTGTATTTTGTGGGATTCCTAAGCCAGGGCGTGAGAGCAGAAGCAGGCTGAAAGTGCTGGAGAGTCTGCCGGTCGGGCCTGCTTATTATTTTTTTTTTGGTCTAATGCATAGAAAATTAATTCAAATCAGCAATCTCAAAAGCATTTTTAACAATCAGGTAAAATATAGAGCTGGAAAAGTACTTCTATTCTAAATTACAATGTCTAGAAAATAAACGGAGCTCATTAGAATTAAAAATATAAATGGCCATTTTCACAGCACCTATTGACACATTTATTTATTTATTTATTTATTTATTTATTTATTTAAATTTATTTATTTTTATTGTTAGTTTCAGGTGTACAGAACAATACAATAGTTACCCTTTTCACCCTCACCAGGTAACAACCCCCCTCCCCCCATCTATTGCCCTCCCACCCCCGATATCATGCTTATCTATTACAATTCCGTTGAATCCGTTCCCGCGATCTACTCCATGTCCCGAGACTATATGTATATATATAATTATAGTTGACAAACAGTATTATTCAACATCAGCTTCAGAAATACAATGCGGTGGTCAGGCCTCTACATCGACTATGAAGTGGACTCCCCAAAAGGACATGGGTCCATCTGGCCCCCTAAGAAATACTTACAACATTATAGATTATATTCCTCGGACTGTCTTTTTCTATCCCTGAGGCCATATTACAATTACCAATTTGTATTGTCTCATCCCTTCCCTTTCTCCTTCATCCCCACCCCCTCCCAACTAACAACCCTCGGTTCTTCCTCTGTGTCTCTGAGACTATCTCCATCCACTTCTCCCATCCATTCAGTTCCTTAGAATCCACGTATAAGTGAGATCATATGATATTTGTCTTTCTCTGACTGACTTATTTCACTTAGCATAATGTTCTCTAGTTCCATCCATATTGTTGCAAAGGGTACTATTGGGCCTGCTTATTTTTGTTGTTCTTTTAGGTTTGTTCCAAGACGACGATTCTTACAGCGACTGTAGTGATCAGAAAAAGCCAGGAAGCAGTTTACCCAGCGTTGTGCTAGCAGGCAAAGTGAATTTCCCAGAAATGTTCCAGACAAGTCACCTTTTGTTCTATGAGCGATTCAGAGCCTATCAAGATTACATTTTGGGTGAGTGGGTTTTTGTTTTGCTCCGTTTATCTTTTTAGTCTGTCTCAGTCCCCCGGACTGCCCGGTGTTGGTTCTGAGCACGTGGATTTATTAACTTCTCTCTGCCGTGCGCAGACTCAGTTCTTGTGTTTAATGTGTTTATAGCTGACTGCAAGGCCTCCGAGGTAAGAGAATTCACCGCCGAGTTCTTGGAGAAGGTCCTGGAACCATCTGGTTGGTGGGCAGTCTGGCACACGAAAGTGTTCAAGGTGCTGGTGGAGGTAAATGTAATTCTGTTGTTCAGGCATTCGTCTCTAGCTGAAAGCACTTTCCTTCAAACTGTTATAGCCAAAGTGCTTATTTTTAATTAAAGTTTATGAGCTGATTGCAAATAGCATGTTTTTCGCATCTAATTGCATGGTGTGTGAAGCGTTCCGCAAAGTTTAAAAGCGACAAGGGAGGTTTGTGGGGGGTTGAGGTGAGTTAAGTCTTGCTTTCCTTTGACAGAGGGGATGGATTATAAACCCATGAAGCTGAGGAGGTGTCTGAGACCATTTAACAAATAAAGAGGCCTAATTATAAAGTCAACGGAGTTTCAATTAATTTTTTACCTTAGTTGTAGCCCATTAAATAGTTCAGCCAAATAGGCGTTTATAAACTAGCCTGTGTTTTCCCTGACAAATGTGTAGATATGTGGTTAATCTCTGGATAATGTGACCTGTTGCAGGAAGGAAAAACAATCTTATTTTTCAGTTGACTGGGCCTTTTACATTAAATTTACACTCTAATTACAGCCGTGAATTTTTCTGTGTTTGTTAACTGGACCACAAAAAACCCTGTTAAACTAAAATGTTAAACCAGGGGGTGTAAATGCAAGCCAGTTGTCTCCGGGGCTCCTTGAGAAAATGACATCACTTACGGGCGGTGATGACAGTCCTGGCGGGGGGTGCAGCTGTTCTGACTTCTAAAATGCTGGGTTACGCTAAGACTTGGGTTGCAGTTCAGGCCTGTTAATCAGGTTATGACAGTAACCCCCGTGCCCATTGCCCCCGCCTCACCCGTCAGCTCTCTAAAAGCAGCCGAAGCCACTGTTTTAAAGGAGGAACGGCCGTTCTTCTGCTTCAAACCTCTAGTGCATTTACCGAAGGCCCGGTGTTGGCTCTGGCTTCTCCGTGTGCGAGCGACGAGGCATCAAATCCAAGCCCTTCGGGTGCCCTGCACGACCTGGTCCCCTTGCGCCCGCCTCCTCATCCTCTGCTCCCCCCCACCTTTTCCTTCCTTTGGGTCCAACAGGAAGCTCCGCCTCTGTTCTCCCGCTGCCCTGTGCCCTGTGCCCTGTGCCCTGTGCCGGGGCCTCGCGCACCTTTCATCCTCTCAGTTGGCTGCTTTCTTACCCGCCTTTTCATCACAGCTCTGAAGTGACTTCCCCTGACCATCCCGGTACACACCATCACCCCGGCTAGTTATTCTGTCACATACTTGTCACCATCGTGTTTGTTTGTTTCCTGGATGACAGTGTAAGCTCCACGTGGTAAAAGCCAGGCCTGTCTTCTTGTTCCTCCTTTACAGTAGGGAAGTAGGCTCCCCACTCCCGTTTCATGCTTAACACAAACCAGGCTGAAGGCGTGTTATATGTGTATCTTCATTTTGATTTCCATACGTCACGTTATTTTAAACTTCAGGTCACAGATGTGGACTTTGCAGCCCTGAAGGCCGTGGTGAGGCTTGCCGACCCGTGCCTCTTTGAATGTCAAGTGTTCACCTTGGAGTGTGTGGTGGAGCTGCTCGAGATGAAGGAGCACCGGCTGCCCCTGCACGAGCTGTGGGTGGTGTTCGATGACTCTGGAGCGTTTGACCAGACCGCACTTGCAATCGAGCATGTCAGGTAGGAAGAGAGGCTGATCACACTAACCTCGTGGCCAGGAGCTCGGGGTGAAATTCAGAAATTCTGGCCTGCTTTATACCCAGACTTGAGACTCAACTGTAAACTTGGTATCTACAATATTTGGAACTACTCAAAACCACAGGAATCCTTTTTTAAGTTAAAAGAAAATGTAAAGAAATGGTTTAAGTGGTTATTTTGAGATAATTTCAGACTTACAGAAAAGTTGAGAAAAATAGTACAAAGAATTCCTGTATAGCATGTGTCCCCAAATGTTAACAGAAGTTTGGGGGTTCTTAATTTGCTTTGTACGTATGTGGAAGCTGACTTAAAAGCTCTGATTGCTAAGGCTGTGGTTGACGTGCTTGAACCCGAGAGGAATGGAAAGCAGGTGAGGAAGGGGGACACTGACCTGTGCGCTGCTGAGACTGACCCTGGGGGTCTGGTCAAAGCAGGCGTTTCCTCCGGCCAATTCCAGGGTCTCACATCCCCTGGCATGTCAGCTTTTTCTGGCACAGTCGATGTCCACTTGCACAAGCATACCCCTTATCCCTTAGCTGAGAAGGAAAGCCCATACCTGCATTCACAGATGTGCCTGTTTCAGTTTTTGAAAGAAATCTTTTGTAAGATCGTACCTGATAGAGACAGTTCTTTCGGATCTTCTGTATGTACGTGTGTTCACTAAGGAAGGTTTACTCTTGGCCGTTTAGAAGTGGACTCATATCTGCTAGGAGCTGGAAGATGGGATGATATACTGGTCACATTAATAGCGTGGGTTGGTGTATAGTTTCAAAAGTTCTTTCCAGTTTCTGTATTATTAGTGAGTTCACCTGGTTTTGCCGAGCTTAACATTCTGCAAAAGAAGCAGGGTGTCTTGGGGCCCTGCTTCCAACATCTCCTGGAAAATTTCTAATTGTATTGAAGAACATTTTAACCCGAGATGTTCAATATTAGGCCAAGCAATAGAAATCTAAAGACCTGGCTTCTGTCCAGAAGCAGAACACCTGCCTGATGCTTCACTGTTAGAAATCCGTCAGTTAAAGCATTTTAACGTAAGTGATAATGGATGCGCTTTGGAAACTGGGACTTGGGGAGCTGCGCTCTGTGGACCCAGAAGCTGGTAGAAAGACAAGTACCTGACTTTAGTAATGGTATTATTTGGAGAAGAGCCTGGCTAAATTTACTCTTGATTTTGAGAGCTTAGGTTCTTCTGGTTGGTGCACAGAAACGGTCAGATTGGGAGGGTTTTTATTTGTTCATCAATTCAGTAAATGTTCGAGTGCTAGGTCCTGAGTTGAGGGTGACATTTGAGTGGTTCACGAAACAGACATGATCACTACGAGCAGGATCAAGTCCAAGGGAAGATGGACTTGATGAAATCATCACTGAAAGACATGCGCGTGATTGGGAAGTGTGGTCACCCAAGACCAGGTCAGGCTGCTGCTCTGGTTGTTTTCTGAGGAAATGGCATTTGAACTTGGGTCTGAAGGGTTGACCAGGTGAACGGGATGTGGTGCAGTGGGGGAGGGGGCAGGGTCAGGCGCTCAGTGCGTTTAAGGGGGCGGAAAGGCCAGCGTGGCCGGACGGACAGTGCCGGGAGAGACTTCGGAACCAGCTGGAGAGGTGGTCAGGGTGGGAGGTGCAGGGCTTTGTCAGCCAGCGCCCTTTTCATCTTTGACAGCAGTGGGAAAACACTGAAGGATTTTCATGCAGGGGGAGGGTGATCAGCTCTGGGTGTTAAGAGGTTCATTCTGGCTTCTGTGTGGAAAACGAATGGAGGGAGATGAAGCAGGGAGGCTAGTGCAGAGGCGAGAGGGCGGACTAGAGGGGACATGGCGAGGACAGATTGAGGCCACCTGAGAAAGCGGCTGGGACTCGGTGGTGGAGAGGATACGGGGGAAGTCCAGGTTCACTGGAGGAAGGAGGTGCAGACGTGAACGACCATGTGTGCCCAAAGTGAGGATGAGAGTTGAGCCGAGTTACGAAACGTACACACGAGCTTACCAGGTGGAGAAGGCAGGGGCACTTATGGCAGCCTGAGCAGCATGTCATGTGGAGCTTCGAAAGAGCTCGAGAAACTGGGGGTTGGCCTGCAGGGGCTCTGGGGCGGAGAGGTGCTCTGGAACCAGCCCGAACTCAGAGTATCGGCAAGCTCAGGAATTTGGACTTTGTTCTGAGAGCAGCAAGGAGCCAGCATGGGTTCGGACTGGGTAGAAGCATGCTCAGGTTTTGGTTTTGTTGTTTTAAAGCTGGACTCGAGAGAGTGTAGAGACTGGCAGTCCAGTCTACAAGGCTTAAGAGATGGCTTCATTGCCTCTGCTCCTCCTATTCACAGCAGAGCTTCTAGACAAAATGTGTAGTTGCAGCCTGTGCTTCCTGGTGTCCCGGTAATGCGCCAACCCCTGTGTCACCACCAGAGTTATGCTTAAGGTCCCCAGAGTCCCCATGATCTGGTATCCCGTCGCTCCTTCTCTGGCCTCCTCTTGCTGGACCTTGCTGCCGCCACATTCTAGTTATTGGATCGCTCCCGGCTCTGGGACACCCCCATCACGATGCTGTGCACCGGCTCGCTTTCTTAGTCACCTTGGCCAGCTCGTCCTCTCCTGCTCACACTATAGGACGTTGGAGTTACTCGGGGATGAGTGCTTCACTATCTACTCTTCTCTCTTCCAACAGTCAACCTTAGAAGCACGTTAGAATCAGCTGGGAATTTTCTTTCTAGGAATATTCCAGCTAATACATTGAAGAATGTCAGTATTTTGCGGCCAGTGATAAAAGGAAGGTTCCAGGCAATGATCAGTGGTATAACCACTGGTGAAAAACCGGTGCCCATTGATCATTCTTAGCCTCATTGTCAAAAGGCATGACCAGGTATTACACACTTCCTGATGGAAGTTCATTACACCTCCCTTGAAGCATTCTTGCCAAAAAACCCTTTCTTAAAGCCAACCAGGTCTCTAGATCTTGCTATTATATTAGTTTATTAGAAGGAAACAGAAAAACATGTTGACTGAACCCCTGGGGATGCAATCAGTAAAATTCAGAGTGTGGGAAATTATTAATAAATCGCAAGGGGAAACAGGAAGGGGTAATCTACAGAATGAAGGCGATTTAAATAAATGTAGTGGCTGACCTTTGTTTGGATCCTGATTCGAACAAACCACCTGTAAAAGAGCACCATCACCACCACCAAGAGACGGGGGAGAAATGCATCACTGACCGGATATTTGGATAGTAAGGAATTAAAACGTTGTCTTGGTACGTTTGTTGTAGGGGCACATACTGAAAATTGATGAACAATAAGATGTGGCTGAGATTTGCTTCCACATAGTCCTGTGTCAGGATGGTGGGGGAAGGGAGCAGAGAAGTGAGTGGGCGGGGTGGAGAAGATGGCCTCTGAGCTGGCAGTTGTTGAGGCAGGGTGATGGGTGCATGGTATTCACGGTACTCTTTGCTCTTGTACATGTTGGAAATTTCCCAGAATTAAAAAAAATTTGTTAAATCACGTGGGGAGCTTTATAAAAGTTGGATCCCGCATCAGCCCCAGCCTTCACTCACGATTTATTGGTCTGGTTTAGGGCTGGGAATCAATTTTTAGAAGTGTCTCAGGGGGGCCCTGAGGTGCAGCCAGGGCAGAGCACTGCCTTCTGTTATGTCCCTAGAGGGTCACATCTGTTGCTTTAATGCCACCTTGATGTCTCTAGCCAGACCCTTCCTCTGAGATTATATGTTCGTCTGCATTCTTGCCACCATCCACTTGGAGGTCAGGGAGCCATCTCAACCTGGACATGGTGAAAACAGAACTTTTTCTTTTCTTTTCTTTTCTTTTTTTAGCTGAGCCATCCTGCCACCTGTTGGCAGCTCAGCGGCAGCTCAGCTCGGGCCGGGACTCGAACCGATTGCTCAGAGCACGCACTCTTGAGCAAGCTCTTAACCAACTAAGCCACTCGGTCGGCCCCTCTGAACTCTTTATTTTCAACTCCACACCTGTTTCTCTCCCAATCTTTTCTATCTCAACAAATGGCCTTACCATCCACTCACTTACAGGTAGCCAGTAAATGGTTCTGAGAACAAGAAAATCCTAACAGAACCCATGCTGTAGAAAACCCCCTTTAGCCATTCCAAAAAGGCCTGTGCAGAGAGTCACAGAGATGCTTGAAGATGCTGTGCTGCTTGCTTTGAAAGTGGAGGGAGTGGGGCCGGCAGAGTGGCTCAGTTGGCTAAGAATGCAAACTCTGAGCAGCAGGGTCGCTGGTTCGATCCCCACATGGGCCAGTGAGTTGCGCCTGAGCTGAGCCGCCACTGAGATGCCAATAGGTGGCAGGATGGCCCAGTAGTTAGAGCGTGTGCTCTTAGCAACAAGGTTTCCGGTTCGATTCCTGCATGGGATGGTGGGCTATGTCCACCAGCAACTAAAATTGAACTCAGCGCCTTGAGCTGAGCGGCTGCGAGCTGTCAACGGGTGGCTGGACTTGGAGCTGAGCTAGCTGCGCCCTCCACAACTAAGACTGAAGGACAACAACTTGACTTTTCCCCTTCCTGAATTCCCCAACACTGTTCCCCTTCCCCAATTCCCCAATGAAATAAGAAAAATAAATAAAATTTATTTTATTTATGAGCCAACGAATGCAGGTGGCCTCTAAAAGGTGGAAAAGGCAAGGTAACAGGTTCTCCCTCAAAGCCTCCAGATGAACACAGACCTATTAACTCCTTAATTTGAATTCAGACCCATTTCAGACTTCTGACCTCTAGAGCTATAAGAGAATAAATGTATGTTGTTTTAAGCCACTAATTTTGTGGCAGTACTAAGAACCTAGTAGATGGTATATATTCTAATGCTCCAGAGATTTACTGTATTGATTTCATTAAGGTGGCTGAAAATTGATAAATTGAAATAAAAAGAAATTTAAAAAAAGAGAAAAAGGCCTGTGTGACTCATGACTGTCAAGCCCAGCAAATACCCAACATTTTCTACCATAGCTGATAGAATTGCTTTGATTTACTCCTTCGCTCTCACCCCTCCAAAACCCTCACCTTTCGAGTGAATGATTGAGTTGGAGTAATACTAATTTCTGTTTCAGATTTTTCTACCAAAACATTTGGAGGAGTTGGGATGAAGAAGAAGAGGATGAGTATGATTATTTTGTCAGATGTGTTGAACCTCGATTGAGATTGTAAGTGTTTATTAGTGACCTTGTACATGTTGGAAAATAACTATCCATGGTTTCACGTTACCTGTGTGGGGTGTGGACACTCCAGGGCCACAGACAGAAACAGACCCACGTACAAACAGTGTCACCCACTGACAGTTAGGAAATGAAAGTCGTACAGAGAAACCTGCTTTTAAGTTTGTAAGCTGAGTCCAAAAGCAGAGTTCAAGAACAGCTAAGGTAACAGCTCCGTGTCTTGTAAATCTGAATAAAACCTGAGCTGATGTTGAAAGAAAACCCTGTGTTAAATTCTAAGACAATTATTTGGAAAGCAGTGACATTAATTATAGAAGAGTTTTTTTGTTTCAGTGTTTTTAAAGAGCACTTCTAAAGATATGTGGCTTTACTCTTAAGTTCCTACAGTAAAACATATTGGACTAAACTAATGAACATATCTCAGGATATTTTGTCAAGTTTGTGTCCTTAAATATTATTTGACGTATAGATGAAAATACTAACTAGCTAATGGTGATAAATATAAATTTCCAAAATACCTGAACACATTCTTCTAATTTATCATATTTGGTAGGAAAATACTCCAAATTAACCATTCAACCCAAATAGTTGTTCTGTACTTTGTTATATGAGGCATTCAGCTTTCCACTAGATGGCGCTCTGACACTAGGTAATTTTTTTTCATGAGTCGTCTAGTCTAGCTGCTATAAAAATAAAAGTAGAACTTGCACTCCCTGAAAAAGAAAAATTAGTAGAAGATAATTTTTTCCCCTGTGTGAAAGATGAGTTGGTTAAGGCAGTAACTCTTTACACTTATGTGGAATCCTCTTTGATTTAGCAAGTTTCTCTTTAGGTAGTAAATAATTTAAAAATCTGTGAAAAGTTCGGTTAATGGTCTGCCTGGTTTAGAATTATGTGTGTCTGACTTCATTTCTTCATAAATGGGCTGTGTTTTCTATTAGGCTTTCGTGTTTTCCCATCGAGTATTCAGTGAAATGCCAGAACTTCGATAAACTTGCCTATTTTCTAGTTTTGATTGATGTGAAATGTAATATAGGTGAATACCAGCTGTATCTGGCAAATTTGATCTTTTCTTGGAAGGAAGTGGTATTCTGATTTCACAGCCTTACATGTGTGAACCACAGCAAATGATTTACACCCACCTTGCTCTTCACTGGCAGGCGGCAAAGCAGGAGGGAGGCGCTATTTTCAGTTACGGAGAGGAAAGCGCAGTACTTGGTGGAGAAACTGGAATGTTCTCCAGTGTAGGCAGACTCTTCAGAGGTCCCGGGGCTGAGGCGGGTGGAGCTGTCAACTGGCGAGACTTGCAGGGAGTCAGACCAGATCGTCTTGATCTCGCACTCTGGGCTGAGCAGTTTTCCTTTCTGATCACTGCTCCAAGGCTTAGGGCTCTGAGACACACACGTCGGTGCATTGCTTCCCGGCTCCGGAATATACGTTAACTATAAGGAGAGGAGACCAGCGGGTTGGCATGGATATTGGAAATGCTAAGAAACTTGTTTTAAACTTTGAGTCTTAATCTTCCCAAGTTGATAGACCCGATCTAGCAGTCAGTGGTTTGGACTCCTTGGACTTCTTGTTTGCAAAGTGGATTTCGAGAGAAATATCTTGAAACGAGTGTAGATTTACCAAAGCAGACAAAATGCTTGCTTTTCAAGCTTCATCTAATTCATTTACTTGAACGGCAGGGAAAATGTTTTTATTTGTTTTAAATACCGTTTGAATGTTCACCAAAATTTGATGTAAATTTGTTTAGGATGTGGCTCAGGTTTTTACCCCTAAACTTATTTAGAGCATGACTAAGTTTAAAACACATCATCTAAGGCAGTAGTTTTTAATTTTGGCTGTCATTACAATCCCTGGGGAACTTAAAAAAAAAAAAAGAAAACCTCCCAGAGACCTCTTCTAAAGACCCATTGAATTGGTGGGGATGGGCCCTGAGGATCAGTATTTTTAAAAGTTCCACAGTGAGTGTCATGTGCAGCCACAGTTGAGAAGCTCTGGCCTGAGGCACGTATAAGAAAATATACTGTTACCTGCGAAATAAAGCAATTACTTTAAAACTACAGGTAATGGCAATAACATTGCACTTTATTTTCAGATCCATGAATTTTTACATTCATTAACTTGATTATACATTCATAAATTATTTTATTGTATCTAGGAGTACCCTTTCTTCTATCTATATACTTGAGAAGGTGTATAAATTGAAATAAATTTTAGGTGCCAATAAAGTTCTCCAGTAAAAGTTGTTTGTTTTACTTACGCTCTAGTTGAGTAACCACAGCTTGATTTTTTTCTAAGATTCTAAGGCTTATGTTTTTGAAATACTCTCATCTTCCTGAGGGACTATTCTGTGTAACTTTGTGCCCTAGGACTTTAAATGTGAGGAAGGACTCGATGATTCGAGTCACTTTTCATTTTTGGCCCTGTAGATAATGGTAATCTTAAACACTGTTATGAACTGTTTAGGAGTCTTCCCTCCCGGCGCTGCCGCCAGACTGAATTAACATGAGAAAATAATTTCTTATTAAGTAACAATTACAAATTGTGCAGCATTAACATTCATCATTTTTGTACAGCACAAATGCTTGGATCTAAGAAAAAAAAATAGCATCTTCTCAGAAGAAGAGAAATTAGTGACCTAGGGAAACGGTGCTGCAGCCTTCCAGCGGCTCCCGCTCCAGTCCAGTGCCGTTCAGAGACCTCAGGTGCCGGCGCCATGCGCTGCAAGACACTCCCCACAGGGCCTGGAGAGCACCCGGGGCGGCCTTTGGGGGCGGCGTGTTGGGTGGCAAGGATTTCAGTGTGCTCTCCACCTTTCAGGCACTATGACATTCTCGAGGACCGGGTCCCCTCAGGACTAGTCGCCGACTACCGCAGCCTGCTGTCTCAGTGTGAAGAGAGTTACAGGAAGTTTCTAAACCTGAGAAGCAGTTTGTCGACTTGTACCTCGGATACGGAGCAGGAAAACATCTCCATGGTGGAAGGGTTGAAATTGTATTCAGAGATCGAGCAGCTGAAACAAAAGCTGAAACTCATTGAGAATCCTCTGTTGAGGTATGTGTGTCTCTGTTACTCTTAGCTGGTTGGCATCTTTTCCAACGAGCTGTCTCACTGAGAACTAACAGGTCTGTTTGGTTTCTTTAAGATACGTGTTTGGTTATCAGAAGAATTCTAATATCCGAGCAAAGGGTGTCCGTCCGAATGGTCACAAGGTCACCCATGTGGTCTCCTCTGCCATGATGACTGGTCTCCTGCAGTCCCTGCTGAGGGACCGGCTTTGTCAGGAGCCTTGTCAGGAAGAAGTAGAAATTCAGGTAAAAGGAGCGTTTCTTGCTCCAGGTGGCTTTTTCCTTCTGGTTGACCCCAGGTTTTCCTGAAGTCAACAGTTTTCGGAGCTCCCCAGAGCTGGCTTTCTGTGACATGGGAAGCAGTGAGCGCACTGCCTTTGGCAGCCCCAGTCACTTACCACCTGCCCTGAGCTCAGGGCTAGGAATAGCTCAGGAGATGGCCTGAGTGTGCGCTGGGCTCCTTTTCACAGGGACACGTGAAGGCCCCTGGAGGACTCAGGCTGCTGTGAGGATGTATATTTGCAACATGTTGTTTTCCAGTTCCACAGTGACCCGCTGTCGGCCGTAAATGCCTGCTATGAAGGCGACACTGTGATTGTTTGTCCCGGCCATTACGTGGTGCATGGCATGTTCTCCATTGCTGACTCCATTGAGTTGGAAGGTGAGTGGGGAAGATGAGAGAACCAAACTGTTCTTGTGCACGACATGCTCGAGACAACATAAACATTGATCTTGCTGAAGCGCCAAGAATATGATTTCAGCTCATCTGGTTTCAAACATTAAGGGTATTTCAGGCTTACCAGAGTTGACTCAGTGTTGGAGCAGCTTGAGGTGTGGGCCTTTGCGGCATCGTATGTGCTGGGAAGTTGAGCACATTGACCAAAAGGACCATGAGGAGGAAGCACATGTGTACTTCCCACTCCGTAGGTGCTTTATGGACAGGAAATCTCATTTCTAGAATAAAAAAATATTCCCAGCAGTATATTTGTAAAGTTTAGTACTTTTTTATTTGTTGCTTACTCATTTCATAAGTGTTATGGATATATTGGTGCATGGTTTTCTTGTTTTAAATTTGGCTTATTTTTGTGAGAGGTATAGGTCCAACTTGAAATTAGACCAAAAATCTTAATTTTTTAAAAGCTTGCTGAATGTCACAAATTCTACACTTAGAATCTTGACCAAAGTGTACTTTTGAGAATGTTAATGTTGAAAGATTTTGTTAAAACCAACTTTTAGCAGTTACAATCTTGTGCATGTAGAGTGACTCCTAAATTTAGGTTACTTTACAATCGTTCATCTTGGTCCTGTATATTTCCATAATTTCCATAATGTGTCAAATTTAGATGCACCTGTTCAACTCTTTACCAAAAGAGCTTCAAGTTAGCAATAAAGCTTGTAATGCAAAAAATCATACATCATTTTGGGACGTGTGCAGCTGTTCACAAATTGCTTAAACTGTGTTCTTTATCTTTATCTTGTCAAAACTCCTTAATGGAAGCAAGGCTGGGAGTTTAACTCCTGCTGTTCACGAGTGCATCACCTCACCCCCTCTCTGTTTTATGTGTGTAATGTTTGTTCTTTCTCCTCTCCAATATTTGATATATAATAGAGATGTGTGTATAAATAACATGTGCAGAATAAATCACTGCACAGAAACGCTATTTTTTTGGCATAGTGAAAATGGCGTTGATATTATAGATTGTATGGGGATAAGAGTTCTTCCTACATTGGTGAGGAAATTATCGTGTAATTGCCAAAGTGTCATAAGTAACCATACAGAATTCTGATAGTTAAGTGTAAAAACGATGAAATTTACTAATGGCGTTTCTGAGACTGGCGAATCGGGCATGTCTCTTGTGTGAATAATGGACGCCGCTTGTTCCTGCGTCCGACCAGAGCTTGTCTCCCCGCCAGTCTGCTCTGCAGCGAACGCTTACTGTGTATTGGCGAGAACTGTGCACTGAGCACCCATGATGTGCAGAGTGCTGGCAGTGCGTGTAGTAGGGTTTTCCCTTTTTGTTCAGACCTTCCATTCACTTAGTGCTGGTTTCATATTTTAAACTGCTAAGAATACATTACTTGTTTATGTAATTTTTTTCTCAATCTGGCGATTTATACTATTTTTTATTTTTCTGATGATAAAAAACAATGCTGATTGTAGAAAATGTGCGAAGTATAGGCAGACATGTAAAAAGAATCAGAAAAAAAGTAATTTCTCCTGATCCAGTCGCCCAAAAGTCCCTGCTGGTGGCACTGGGTGAAGGGAGCCCTGTGTTCTCTGCTGCCCCCGGAGGCCTGTCTGTACTCGGCGAGCAAGGCAACCCAGGGCCCTGCGGTAGGCTTCCATTCCGCAGCCATCTTGCCACTGGGAGAGCTGTTTCCTGCAGCTTCGCCCGTGTGCTTCTGTTTTACGGTGAATGTCAGGCGAGTTCCCTGGAGGCTGATACACCGGTTGTCTCTACGCACGTTCAGGGCCCCGGCCTGCATTGTTCGTTTAACACAGATTTGTAGAGATCCAGTGTTTCTTATTGGTGAACAAGGTAGACCTATTTTTCCAACAGCTAAAAACTTTTAAGTCAGCTTGTCAGATTTTTAAGTCAATCTGTTTAGGAGAATATTAAAATTAGATAATTTTGAAAAATGCTTAGGCTTTTGGAAACCTAATTTATTTCAGAATCTTAGAGTCGGAAAAAACCTTACAAGGGTTAAATGCTTTAAAGCCCTTTGCCCCAGCTGTGAGTACCTAGGATTATTCATTTTTTCATAGATTTGTAAGTGGATTTAGTGCTGAGTTGGTCTGACATGGTTAGTGGGTAGTATTCCTGTTAGGGGGCAAATGGAGGAGGAGTTATTATTAGAACTCGTGTACCCTGGTTTAAATTAAACAAAATATGTTGGGAGATAATTAGATTGTATTTAAATGCCGCTGGGTTGACTGGTCTCATATCCTTTGGAGTCGTTTGAAATAGACAAGTCTGCCGTAGCCGTGTTGTGTGTCGACGTCTGCCCCCGCCCGTCCTAAGCGCTCTCGCTCCCTTCCTCAGGATACGGCCTGCCGGATGATGTCGTGATAGAAAAGAGGGGCAAAGGGGACACCTTCATGGACTGCACGGGTGCGGACATTAAAATCTCCAGCATAAAGTTTGTTCAGCATGATGCTGTAGAAGGAATCTTAAGTAAGTTTCTGGGCATTTTGTGTTATTATTTGTTCCAGACTTTGAAGGAAAACTTTGCTTTCCCTGGAAGATACAGTTTAATAAAACACCACTCTTGAGTGTGTGGAAGGCTGATTAGTTATGTACATAGCACGATGGCTTAGCAGGAAGCTTATTCCGAGGTGAAAAATAGAATTGGTTAGTTTAATATTGGTGATCATTTTTTTCTTTTAAAATACTGCAGTTTTGTGATCTGTGTTCTTTGTATGTGATTTAGCTTAGACACAACCACTATCCTTACATTGCGCCCCACTTCTTGAATTGGGCCTCCTTTTCTTCCTCTAACATGCTGAGGAAAGTTACTTTCTGGTACTTTATTTTTTGTAGTAAAATGCTTTTTAACTTGATTTTCTGTTTCTGAGGTCAAGTCATTCTTAAGAACGCTGCACTGCTTTTAGGTTTTAGAAAATAACAAAATAGTCGTTTTATATATTATGAATTTGCAGTCGTAATAACAAAGTTTACGTGGTAGCTATTGAGAGATACTCAGACCATCCAGTGTCAGCCCTAGGCTGTTTCTCACACTGGAGAGGACGCATTACTTCTTAAAGTGTGTGACTGTGTTTTTCCATCCCAGTCATTCACCGTGGCAAGACCACGCTGGAGAACTGTGTGCTCCAGAGCGAGACCACCGGCGTCACGGTGCGGACAGCAGCAGAGTTTGTAATGAAGACCTCGGATCTGTATGGTGCCAAGGTATGAAAATCGCAGCCTTTCAGGGGGAGTTAGGTTTAAGGTCTAACTAAGCAAATAAAGCATGGTGCCAAGACGTAAATGCACACTCCTGTTCTCTGTCTTCAGAGTCCCGACGCTTACCACTGGCTTACGTACTAGTCAGCCAGACTCAGTTCTGTAAGGCTCTTACTTAGTATTTTCAAAATAGATTAGGAAGAAACATAATCTTACAGTTTCTCCATGATAATTTTCAGAGTTAACTTAAAGTTGTAACTTGGTGAGTGATTTTGTAGCAATTAAAGCTCAGTTGACTTTTTAAAATTAGACTTCTTATTCTGAGTTAATAGTGGGTTCACGTGCTATTGTAAGAAATAATACAGAGGGATCCTGTATGTAGACCCTTTACCCTTCCCCCAGTTGTAACATCTTGCAAAACTGTAGCAGAATGTCACCGAGGATAACACTGTTCAGTCACGTTGAATCTCCGTCACTACAAGTCCCTTCATGCTGCCCTTTCATCCACCTGCCTCTCCTTCTCCTTTATCACCAGCAAAGTCCTTCGTTTCCACTATTTCATCGTTTTAAGAATGTTATGGAAGTGGAATCAGACAGTGTAGAACCTTTGGGGATTAACTTTTTCACTCAGCAGTTTTCTGGAGCTTTATCCTGGCCTTTCGTGTACCAGTCAGTGGTTCCCTTTTCTTCCTGGGTGGTCTTCCGGCGGGGGGCTGGTCCCCAGTTTAACGAGTCACCCAGTGAGGGCATCTGCATGGTTTCCAGCTTTGGGCTGTTGTAAATAAAGCTGCTGTGAACAGCTGTGCACAGGTGTGGGTGTGGACGTTAGTTTCACTTCTCTGGGGTACACACCCAAGGGCGAGCCGTATGGCACTTGCGTGCTTACTGTTTTGTAAGAAATTGCCGAACCGTGTTCCAGAGTAGCTGCACCGTTTTACATTCCCACCAGCCGTTCGTGACTGGCGCAGGTTCTCCGCTTCCTCACCGGTGTTTGGTATTGGCACTGTTTTTTATTTTAGCCTTTCTGATAGGTGTGTGGTTTTAAATTGCATTTCCCTAACGGTTGATGATGTTGAACGTTCTTTCATGTGCTTATTTGCTCCCTTCTCTTCAGTGGAATGTCATGATTTTTGCCCATTTTCTAATTGGATTGTTTGTTCTTTTTGGCTGTAGGGTTTTGAAGGTTCTTTATATGTTCTAGTTGCTAGTCCTTTGCTGGGTATGTAGTTTACAGATATTTTATGCTAGTCTGTACTGGTCTTCTCATCCTCGCTCAGGCTTTTACAGAGCAAAGTTTTAAATTTTGATGGGAGTCCAGTTTATGAACTTTTCCTTTTGTGGGTTGTGCTTTTTGTCGCGTCCAGCGTGGCAAGGGCAAATGGGACATGAGAGGGGCGGCGCAGATTGAATAAGAACAAGAGACAGAAGTAAGATTTAAGAGCGAGACCAAGGGACTCAGCCTTCAGAGATAGACTGAGCCACCGAATCCGGTCGAGGCATGGTTTTTATTGATTATTTTCAAGGAAGTAAACTGCTATGCTGTGAATCATTAACCGTGTATTTTTGTGCGCCTTAAGGCCTTTTCCATTGACCTTTTCCCAGTGTACTCCAGCAAATGCTATGCCTTCGTACTCCACCACATTGCCCCAAGACATAATTACATGTCCTCCCAGGGGAGACAGCTGATATCATTCCATCAGGTCCCAGTCAGGCCGAGACGCCCCCTGAGAGAGCTTTACAGATATCATTCCATCCGGCCTCAGTTTTCCGAGACACTCTCTCGACTAATGGGTCAGAGGCTAACGCAGAGGGGGTGGTCTAAGAATCGGCTGTAAGGCGACACTTTTGGTGTTAAGAACTCATTGCCAAGCCCTAGAGCTCAAAGATATTTTTTTTCTAAAAGTTTCACAGTTGCATTTCAGACCATGACTCATTTTTTGAGTTAATTTCAGCATAAAATGTGAGTTTTAAGTTAAGGTTCATTTGTTTGCCTATGGATGTCCAATTGTGACTACACTATTTCTTGAAAAGGCTGTTCTTCCTTCAATACATTGGCTTTGCACCTTGTTGAAAATCATGTGGGTCTGTTTGTGGGTCTGTTTCTGGCTTCTCTCTTCTGTTCTGTGATCTGTGGACCTGTCCCTCCACCAGGACCTGTAGCTGTGTAGTAAGTCTTGAAATCTGGTATAGTGATTCCTTCCACTTTATTCATCTTCTTTCAGAATTGTTTCAGCTGTTCTAGTTTCTTTGCCTTTCAATGTAAATTTAGAAAAGTCTTGTCTATATCTACAAAAAATCTTGCTGAGATTTTGATAGGAATTCCACTAAACCTGTATTATCAGTTTGGGGAGAATGGACATCTTTTTTTAAATGGAGTCGTCCAAGCTTGTGAACATGATGTCGCTCTCCATTTATTTCAGTCTTTGATTTCTTTCATCAGCACTGTGTAGTTTTCAGCATACAAGTCTTGTATGTGCTTTCTTAGATTTGTACCTTAATATTTCACTTTTTGGAGTGATTGTGATATTGTATTTTTACTTTCGATTTCTGTATATGTATTGCTAGTATAGAGGGATCGAAACGATTTTTGTATGTTGGTCTTGTACCCTGTGACCTTGCTGAACCTTCTTATTCTAGGAGTGTTTTGTAGATTCCTTGGGATTTTCTATGTAGACAGTCATGTTATCTGCAGATAGGGACAGTTGTGTCTCTTCCTTTCTGATCTGCGTGCCTTTTGTTTCCTTCTCTTGCCCTGTGGCACTGACGTCCAGCACGGTGTTTAATAGGAGCGGTGAGGGGCGACATCTGCCTTGTCCGTTATATTAGGGAGATGTCATCAGTATTGTGCCAGTAAGTGGAAGGTTAACTGTAGGTTTCTTGTACCTACTCTTTATCAAGTTCAGAAAGTTGTCCTCTGCTTCTGTTTTGTGAGAATTTTTATAATGAACGTGTGTTGACTTTTGTCAGATGTTTTTTCTGCATTTGATATGATCACATATTTGTAGATAGGTAGAAAGACAGATAGATAGATAGAATCAGATAACTGATTTGTCCAGAAAGAAAGAGGAACAGTAATCAAATATTGATACTCTTAGCTAGTGTTGCATGTGTGTCTGCGTGTGTGCGTGCGCGCATGTGTCTGTATGTGCGTGCGCGCATGTGTCTGTGTGCGCGCGCTTTCTGAAAGTGATAAATGATAGACAACTTGCAGGAAATGGAGCGAATGGCAGTGTTTATTAGAAGTACCTGATAAAACTTTCTATAAAACACCTTATATTTGCATTTTACATTTGTACTGTGTTAAAGTCTCAGAAGTGATTCTAATAAAACTTCTCTTACAGTCCTGCCTTTTAGAAACTGATTGTCATTTCCTTAAATTGTAACTTTCAGGGTGCTGGTATAGAAATATATCCTGGGAGTAAATGCACCCTGAGTGACAACGGGATCCACCACTGCAAGGAGGGGATACTCATTAAGGTGAGCGCCTGCTCAGACACCCTCTCTGCACAGGTGAGAATGGTGTCCCCTAGGAAACAATTATGTTTTAGTAAATTTCCATGTTGGTGCTATTGTTTTCTGTTTTGAAATGCATAAATGGTATGTAAATTTTAATGTAAATCATTGGTGATTGAAAGTCTCTCGTGAGAATGCTCTGCTGTCTGTAGACCTGCAGAAACAACAGGCATACTGTGGCACTCAGCTCAGACTGCTGCCACGTGTTAATAAGCGTAGCTTTCTTCCTTATTTTTAGAATAGCCTGAAAAAAAGTGAGATTTTCAAAACAGGCAGTGTTGAGTGTGACAGTTCCTTAAAACATTTGTTTTCCATGTCACAGGACTTCTTAGATGAGCATTATGACATTCCCCAAATATCTATGGTGAATAACATCATACACAATAATGAAGGTTATGGAGTCGTCTTGGTGAAACCTACAATTTTCTCTGATCTGCAAGAAAATGCCCCAGATGGAACTGAAGGTATGAGAGACTTAGTAGTCTTCTAATAAAAACCAGATCTAATTTACTTTATGTCAGCGCTAAACACTGATTAAGGACCTGAGCCTTCTCCCTGCCTTACGGAAGATAACTGGCATATGCCTGGGCATGGGGATGCAGGAGCTTGGTAAAGCTGTAACATTATAGCATCTTGGGGTGAAAGCAACTGTCAAGGTCAGCTAGCTCAACTACTCATATCGAACCTTGATGTGTGGTGTCTGTGCTCCTGCAGTTTTCGTCTGATCGTGCTTGGCTTTCTGTAAATCGGCAGGCTGAGAGTGGGTGTGTGATAGCTGCGCTGCCTCCTGCTGGCATCTGTTAAAGATGGAGGCAGAGCCATGGGCGTGCCGGGTGGAACGCTGCATTTACTGGAGGGCACCGCGGAGTTTGACTCTGGTTTTTATTGGTAGAAGTAGATGCCTCTCTGTCAATTATCCTTCTTGGCAGCAAAGCTGAGCCAACTCAATGGGAAATCCATGAATTTGAAGCCTTGACCCGGATCGCTATGAAATCTCGGTCATAGGGTATTGACATGGGTGAGGACCCGTTACAGGGTCTGCCCCAGTTGCTCCCCTGCCGCTTCCTTGTCTCCTCACGGTTCTGTAGGTCCGAAGCGCAGGTGGGCTGGGTGAACCTCACAGCAGCAATGCTGAGGTATTGGCTGACCAGGCTCTTTCCTGGAAGTCCTGTGGGGAACATCTTCCAAGCACATTCCTGGTGGTGGCAGGATCCGTTTTCTTGAGGTTGTAGGACTGAAGTCTGTTTGTATGCTGGCTATTGCCTGGGGGTCGCTGTCAGCTCCTTGCCTGCCCCATGACCCAGAGAACCTCCCTCAAGGCAAATCTCTCCTGTGCTGCGAATGTCTCCTCTCATGCTTTCCTTTCTTTATCAAGCTGGAGAAAACCCTGCTTTTAAAGGGCTCATGATTAGGTTACGCTCACCTGAGTTATCTCCTAAGGTCAACTGATTAGCAACCTGAATTACACCTGTAATGTAAAATCCTTTTGTCATTTCACAATTATGAAAGTCACTCCAGGAAGTAGGCATTGTGAGAATCATTTAGAATTCTGCCTGTCACAAGCGCTAACTTGTACTTAGCTACTACAATAGATTGGGAGTGCTTTAAGAAAAGGAGCACTGGCGTATTAATCTTTGCATCTAGCTCCGAACACGGTTCTCAGCAGACGGTAAATGTCCAGGACAGGTTGAGTGAGTGGATTCATGGATAAAAAGAAAAAAGAATTCAAGATTGGTAAGGCTGTACTAGGGTCAGGAGACCTCGGTACGAAGGAGTAAGACAGCTGTTCGAACAGTGTGTCCAATCCAGCGAGGTGACAGCAGGAGCCCTGGGCACAAAACGCTGCAAGCTCTAATAGATGATGGAAATGTATGTTTTAGTTGGCTTAACTCGTATATTTAACTTTGTTTGTTTCTCCAGAAAATAAAGCACTTAAAATTCAGACAAGTGGAGAGGCGGAAGCTGCTGAAAGAGTGGATTTAGACGAGCTGATCCAGTGTGCAACTGGTAAAGTGGGGCTGTGTGTGAGGTCTGACCTTTGCGAGCAGGTTGAAGGCAATTGTGAGATTGTACATGAACTGCTGGCTGCGTCCACACAGAAAGGCCAGCTCAGGAAGAAGAGGCTGAGTGAGCTGGGGATCACGCAAGCCAATGACGACTTAATGTCACAGGAGATGTTTGTTTCAATTGTGGGGAACCAGTTCAAGTGGAACGGGAAAGGGAGTTTCGGCACATTCCTTTTCTGACCACTGTGATGTCAGCAGATGGCAAAATGCTAGGTTTTGCACATGCCCTGTCGATCGCTGCTGCTTTCATAGTCGCTCCCTGTCGGCATTTGATCTTGGATAGACTGCATTAGATTTGTATGAATGCACTTTCGTTTCTGTCTCCGGGTGCACAGGACACGCCCTCATTATCAAACGGTGATAAAAACACATGAAGTAGAAAATGCTTGGAGATTTCTTAATCTCGAACATCTTGCTTTTTTAAATACATAGCTCTCTCATATGAAGCCTCTTAGTAACTTTGTAGTGTAAACACACTTGAGCATTTCAGAGAGAAGGCAGAAAGTCGGGGAATGTAAGACAAGCGCACACAAATGCAGTCGGTGTCAAATGTGCAGTGTTCTCATGGTTGTCTTTTAACCCCGATACAGCCAATCTGGCATCCGTGTTGTATTTGTATTTGCATAATCCTTGTCTTAAAATAAAAGCTTTTATGGTTGGGACATTACCTGCCTAATCCGACTTATTATCGAGAACCTGAGTGGGATGCCTTTTATGTTGAGCTGTGTAATCAGCAAAACAGTCCGATGGCACAGCAGGTTTGAAACACAAATGAGCCGGTGTGTATGTATGTAGGCTGTTTTCAGTGTTGCTGAATGTGAGTGATTAAAAGAAGGTGCTTTTTACCATAACAGTGTTCTGATCAAATTTCTTACAGGCTAAATGATAACCTATACAAACCGTATCAGCTCTGTACTCTTGATGTCATATGTAAAACACAGCTTTTAAAGATATTTATATTAAAAAAGTATATGTGACATTAATATGCCTACTGATTAAAATTATGATTATGAAATAATAAATCGAATCTTGTTATGTTTTTCCAAATGCATTAATGGGCCATCGTGCCAAGGTGGCATATGTGGTCCTTTGAAGTACACGTGATATTTTGATGACTCTTTAGTGTTTCAGGAAGAGTATTAAATTTTTTCCTCAGTGTGGTTGTTTGTTTTTTATATTTGAATAAATTCTAACTTTTACTTTTCAGATGCTACTAAATGTACCCGTGCTAGTTTTTTTGTTTGATCGTTGAATGGCATTTTACTTGTACTCTTTTAAATCCTATTGTAAAAGTAATGCTAATTAATTCAGCATCAACTTGAGCAGAATACTGACTTAAAAACCATTTACTCAACTTAAAAAAATCAAATTGGCTTTCCAATTGGATTTCCACTTTATCTTGGAGTTTGTGTATTTTCTTACAACTTGCTAGAGTGTCAAGAGAATAAGCACCTAGGTGAATGAATGAAAATACATGAGCAAGTGAGAGGATCATTCTAAACAGCCTTAAAGAAAGACTGGGAACTGGGGAAACAGAGCTCTCACGGACATACAAGCCTTCAAAAAATGTATAAATGCATGTGTGTGTATATATATATATGGTGCCAAAAAAAGCATACACATTTTAGGAAAGGAAAACTTAAAATTATAACACTCAATATGTACCCATCACAAAAGATGAAGACAAGTCACGTTTGACTTCTACAATTACAAGAGGTGCTCAAAGTGGTTCCCATCAGAATCCAGACACTTCTGATTACGGTGAACTACTGCTTGAGCAACGTTCACCAAAGTGTCCACTTGTACACATTTTTTTGGCATTCCCGGTGTGTGTATGTGTGTGTGTGTGTGTGTGTGTGTGTATTTTTTTGGCATCCCCGTTATGTGTGTGTGTGTGTGCGCGCGCGCGTGCTCTATTGCCGGAATTCTCCCATTCGTAAATACTAACCTAACTCAGGCTGATGAGGGTTGCTCCCTGGAGCTCAGAGGCCTGAAGACCAGAGCTGATACGGGACATGGGTGGGCCCATCCTTTTCGCTCTGCTTTTCCTGGTCTTGGCTTCCTCTTCAGCTTGTATTTTTCCATGTGGCAGCAAGGTGGTTCTCAGCAGTTCCAGCTTTTATGGACCCAGAAGGAGCGGGAGAGAGACTTTCTAGCATCTGCTTGGCTCGGCCTGTTTTGTGCTTGCCCTTGGAGCCGTCACTACACCTGTGTGGAAGGCGTCCTCTGTTCCCATGGAGCCACAGTTCCATCCTGGAGAAGGGTGGTGGAGGCTAAGAGTGGACCTGTTACTACGAGAAGGTGGAGGGCTGCTTGTAGGCAAAAGCACATCTGTAGAGTTGGACGAGTCCCTGTATTCAGACACTCCGGTTTCGTTCCAGTGTTTCATCACACAGGGATGCTCAGTGCACGCTGACTTCTCTAAGACTCTATGGTTAGGTTACTGCATGAAGACTGGGTTGAGGGCTACGGATTTGAATTCTGGTAGCTAATGCCGGAGTGTCCGGAGAAAAGGAGCACGAGCTTACACTCCTACCAACTGGGGTGGGTTTGTCATAGTCTGAGAACACCAAATATTTTTAATTAAAAAAAAAAAAGCTTATCTGATAAATGAGAAAATCATTTTTATTTGTGTTTATTTGATTACTATTTTATTGGCTATTTTGTCATTAACTATATTTTCATTTCTCTGTTTTTTCTGAAAATTGCCAGTTCATATCTTTTGCCTATTGTTCTGATGGGTAGTTTGACTTTGCTATTGATTTAGAGGGGTTTTATATGGTGTGGCTTTTATTCTTTAATATTAAAAGTATATACACACCAAAGTATATGTACATTATAAGTACATACATACACATGTACACATAAAATACTCGGGCTGTCTGAGCTTTGTTTATGGTGTTTTATTTAAGTTTCAAGTTTCAATTGTAGTCAGATCTGCTCTTCTAGGTCCTGTGACTTGTGTATGTAGGGCTTGCCTATCACAAGATTATGAAAGTAGTTTGTATTATCTTCTAGTACTCTTCTAACCTTGCTTACATGTACATGCCTAACCCACCTGTCCTCTGGTTGTGTGTGGTGTGGCACAGACTCCTTTTCTCTAAATGCTGAGCAAGTTCTCTCCATACTGCTTATTGAGCCGTCCGTTCTCACCCCATGTACTTGGAATCACACTGAATTCCCATGTTTGCCGCATGTTAGCGCTCTGCCATCAACCACTCCCGGCTGGTATTCTCCAGCTATATACGTGCGTTCTACAAGGATGGAGGTCCCTGGCTCCCAAGTCAGATCTGACCAGAAGGACTTTCACAGACATCCGACAGGCAGCAAGCTAGTTTTCCTGGTGATGACTGAGCTTTTCTGATCCATTGTAAAACCGCCCGTCTGCCTCAGTGTAAACTTGATACAATTCCCTGAGTCTTGGCAAATGCCTCGCGTAGCCCCACCACAGTCAGGATAGTGAGCGTTTCCATCACCTGTAAAAGTTTGCTCATTTTCCTTTGCAGTCATTTCCTTCCCCTTGGACCCTGGCAGCCATCGGTCTGCTTCCTGTCACCAGTTGTGCCTTTTCTAGAATGACCTATAAAAAGAATGACTCGGTATGTAGCTTACGCTTAGCATGATGCTCTTAAAGCACACCTCTGTTGTTTCCTGTGTCAGTTTTCCGTGTGCGGAGTGTTGGTCAATCCATTCATCAGCTGATGGGCCACGTGGGCTGTTCATAGTGTTTGGTTACTGTGGACAGAGTTGCTAAGAATATTTGGGTAAAAGTCGTCTGAACGTATATTTTCATTTCTATGGGGGGCGGGGGGTAATAGCGAAGAGTAAGTGCACGTTTAACTTTCTTAGAAAGCTCCAAACTTGCCCACAGCGGCTGTCCCCTGGCTCTTCTGCCATCAGTGCATGAGCGGTCCAGCTGCCCTGCGTTTTTTTCAGCATTTGGTATTGTTGGTCTTCTAACCCTCCGTCAGGCGCAACTGAGCTCACAGATTGTTTTGAATTTCTGTTGATTTTTATACTGAATTTATGTAATAAACATTGTTTTTACTTCGTGGCAAATTAAAATTTCATTCGGAATAAATAAGCATGCTTACACGTTATCTTCATTCATTTTCAATTTTAGCAGATAAATGTCATACACACACCTAGTAGATGCGTTGTGCCCGAACTCCTAACTTTTGCATTGTGCCCGATGGAGGGTTAAATGTTGAGTAGTCTCACAGGCGTGCAGTGTTAGCTCGTGGTTCAATTTATGTTTCCCTTGCTAAATGAGGGTCAGCATCTTCTCAGGTGCTTGTTTGCCATTTCTATCTTTGGGGAAGTGTCTATTCAAATCTATTGCCCTTTTTTTCCCCCCCAAAAGTCACCTTGTCTTCCTGAGTTGTAAGTTTTTCTTTTTTAATTCTGGATACAAGTTTTTAATCGAATACATGTTTCGAAAATATTTTCTTTCTGTCTGAGGCATGGTTTTTCATTTTCTTAACAGTATCTTTTGAGGAGCAGAGGTTCAAATTTTGATTAAGTCCAGTTTATCAATATTTTCTTTTATTAAAGGTTTATGATTTTATGTCTTATCTGAGGACTCCTTTTTTCTCTTTTCCTGTCCTCTTTTGAATTTAGGGTTTTTAAAAATTGTCATTTGGGGGCCAGCCGAATGGCTCAGTTGGTTAAGAGTTAGCTTGGGAGTGTGAGCTCTGAGTGGTAGGGCCACCGGTTTGAATCCCACATGGGCCAGTGACACTGCCCTCTACAGCTAAGATAGTGAACAACAGCTCGACCTGGAGCTGGGCTGCTGTGAGTAGCCGACGACGGTGTAGGCTGCAGTGGGGCTGCAGTGGGCTGCCGGAAGCTACCATGAGTGGCTGACAGCTGACATGAGCTGCGACGAGCCACTGTGAGCGACCGTCCAATGGCCGGTGACCGACTGCCTCCCTTGGGAAGAGAGCAATGATCCTAATACCAACATGGGCCACTGAAGCGACGTCCTCCACAACTAGACTGAAGAACAAAAGGACAGCAACTTGTCTGTTCCCCTTCCCCAATTCCCCAATAAAATCTTAAAAAAAAAAATTGTCATTTGGTCTCCATAGTTTCTGACAAGTAGACTGCTATTATGTATGTTTTTCTCCAGGTTGTTTTTAAGATTCTATCACTGGTTGTCAGCGATTTCATTATCCTGCATTTTTGTGTGGATTTCTGTATGTTTATTCTGCATGGAGGTGTTTTTTTTTTAACTTTTTTATTGTATGAGTTCATTTCTCAGATAGTTTCCTGCTCCCCCTCATCTCTCCTTCCTGCGTGCATGTTACTCTATTTTGTCCCATTTTGTTTCATTTTGGATGGTTTCTATTGCTATGTCTTAAAGTTTGCTTTCGTACTTTTTAAACAGCTGTTAATCTCATGCAGTGAAATTTTCATTTCAGATATTATATTTTTTATCCCATGATGTTTTTTGGGGGGGCGGGAGGGGCGGCTCTTTTTAGTATCTTTCTCTCCATCATGATCCTATTTTCTTCTAGTTTTTTTTTTAACATCTAGAGCATATTTATAATAGGTGTTTTAGTATCTTTAGCGTTATCATCTCTTGTTTCTGGTTCTGTTTCTATTGATGGACGTTTCTCTTGGTCGTGGGTCATGTGTCCCTGCTTCTTTGCTGTCTGCTCACATCTGATTGGATGCTGGGTGTTGTGGATTGTGTGTCATCCCTTGGAGTAGCATTCACTTTTTGTCTGGAATACAGTCTCAGCGTCTGCTCTTAAGCGTTGTTTGGGCAGATCCAGAGTAGCTTTCAGTTGGGGCTAATGGACCACCCTCCTCCAACTTTTTTATTTTTAAGATTCTACCTGTTGGCCCATGTATTATGAGGTCTCCCCACGCGGGCTGATAGGAGTGACATTTTCCCGCTTATTCGTTTTTGGTGGCCCTCTTGCAGCCGTGGGTAGTTTTATCTCACACGTGCAGCCTTGTACTCAACCAGTGCTCC